AATCTACTCTCACACTTCGGCTTGGTCAAAATTTTTGAGACACCCTGTATAACAGGACATTATAATTTTAGAAAAAAACATTTTCAAATTTAAAATGCAAAAAGTGAAGTAATTACAGGTAGATATTATTTAAGAGTATATATATCTCCTTATTTGGGATTATAATATAATAAAATAAATATACAATATAGTATTTATGAATGTATAAATTTAAATAAGTTTGTGTGTGGAAAAAGGTCAATACGAACAAATCTTGATATTGTTGATAAATATATTTGTTTATTAAATTGTCAAACGTTTCAATCTACGTTGGGATCTTCTTCAGTGACAATCTATATAATAATTACAAAATTTATATATATATACACACAAACAACTCTTTATTTGCCAATACAAAAATTTTTAAATATAATGTCTAATATTTCATTAGTGCTAACGTGTCCTGTTATCTTTCCTAACTCTCTCATCGCTTTGTGAATCTCTTCCGTCGCTATGGCCATGTCGTACTGCTCGTTAGCGCATAATTCAAAGTACCTGTATAGATGTTTCAAGCACAGCGTTAAATGATTCCTGTGTCTCGCCTGACTAATGGTTGGATTCTCCGCAGATGGATTACCGCATCTAAAACGATATGTTATTACACTTTTGACACAGCTGTCAAAAAAATTACATTAACATCGATTTATACGTTCTATTATATATACATACATGTTATTGAAGCGATCTGTTAGCGACTGTAATAAGTCACAAAACCCGTCTTCAGTCTTACAAGATATCAGAACTGCTTCAGCATTATTTAGCTGTCGTTTATGCTCTTTCTTCAACAGATCTCCCTTATTCATTAGTATGATAAAACGTTTCTTTCCTATTTTTGTTAATAATTCTTCTATTCCTAACGACGACAGATATTCGCGTATATATTCCTTATATATCTTTCCACTAGTTGCGCACTTAAACGCGTCCGCTACGACGATAACCAAGTCAGCGTTTTCTGCATAGTTTTTTGCTCGACGGACACCCTCAACTTCTACGATATCTTCAATATTTTCTGTGATACCTGCAGTATCTGCTATTAGCACAGGATAGCCCGAGATATTTGTGTTCAGTTCGATAATGTCTCTCGTGGTACCGGCAATAGGAGTGACGATAGCGGCGTTACGCTGCACCAAGTGATTCAAAAGACTGCTCTTGCCTACGTTGGGTTCGCCTATAATCGCAGTTCTCACTCCGCTTCGTAGAATTTCTCCTCGTCTGCCGTCGGTTAGGTGTTTCTCTAGATCTTGTATCAACTTTCTAAGAGCTTGATGCGCGTTTTGCACAACGTTGCTTTCGATGTTATCCTCTTCGCTAAAGTCAATGTACGCCTCGATATTTGCGACAGATTCCGCTAGGATTTTTCGCCAGCTATCGTACAACCTATGCAAAACACCATCAGCCTGCAATAGTGCTTGTTTTCTCTGATATTCGGTCTCAGCCTCTATCAGATCGGCCAGACCTTCGACCTCTGTCAGATCGACTTTGTTATTATAGAAAGCACGTCTGGTAAATTCGCCTGGCCATGCCGGATATATCTGTAACTTTTTAAGAGCTTGCATCAACCGCGTCAAGATCGCTAGTCCGCCGTGCACATGGAACTCTACCGAGTCTTCACCAGTAAACGAATGTGGACCTAAAAAATTAATTGTCCCTGTCTCTCAAGAATGTTATTTATGTAGTTAACCCTTCAATGATAAACGTGGGTCTTCTAAACCCACCCAAAAGTTTTAAGCCGGTGTTTTTTTTGTTTAAGGTATAAATGTGCCAGAGGATTCATTGTCCTTAATAGGACACATTAGGTTTACAGTTACTTTGCGAATTCACACGTTTCTGAAACTTCGTCACGGAAAGTCAATATCGAGAATCGGGAGAAGTATAGAGATGTATAGAGTACTATCTCGGTAGACAACTTTCAAAATCTAACTGTACACTTTTTACTACTACCACGTAATATACAGCCATCTTTCACAGTAGGCATGCCCATTTGTGTCTTGTGATAGCTCGTGTTTAAGATGTGATTAAGATTGTCTTGTGGGAGGGAAATTAATTTACCCGGATTTTTGGCCCGACTCTATTCGTCGATCAACTGGTAAACTCTGTTGAAAGGAACCGGGCCGGAAAAAATCCTTAGGTATTCGAACCCGTTACCTCCGAGTTCGCAGCCTCTGCATTTAGACTGCGAGTGGGCCAGTCGTAACCGGTGTCTTTACTCACAGTTTTAGTTCTCTTACAGCATGCTAAAGCGATGAATGGGATGCGCACAACAGCAGCGAGTTCTATCTGTATAAACTCGCTGCTGTTGTGCGCATCCTTTCCACCGCTTCAGCATGCTGTAAAAGAGCCAAAACTGTGAACACTGCTCTAGTCCAGTGTTGGAATACAGAATGCACACAGTAAAGAAAAAATTTCACGAAGTAGAGTAGGAGATTGCCTAGCAACTAATATGACCATGTAACGACGCGCTAAGCAAGCACGCTAACACGACGCGAGTGATACGTTGCATAACCATATATTATGTCGCATAACATATATCACTGAAATGTAACTTACCTTTCTTACATTTCATTAATATATATTTTTTAAACGTCAAACATGTATTGGATATGGTTGTTGTGAAAGTTATAAACAAGTTATGTTCATGCAACGTCGCGTCAGCATGCTCGCGTGGTGTCGATTGCTAGGCAATCCCCTATTCTACTTCATAAAGTTCTCCCTTTATTATTTGTGTACATCCTATATCCCAACACTGATTCTGTATCCTCTACTAGGTATTAGTTTAGCGCGATATCTTAACACCATGAAAAAAATTTAGGACCTCAGACACTGATAGAGTTGACAGCGTCATTCGTTTAATAACTGAGAGACCGGCCCACTGGTCTCGCGGCCTGAGTGCAAGGGCTGCAAACACGGACGTCCCGAGTTTGAATCCGCTCATCAAAATCTCTAAGGATTTTTTCTGGACCGGTCCCCTTCAACCGAGATTATTGGTTGATCGACAAACAAAATCGGTATAGATAAGAAGGTCAATCGAGCAAAATAAGAGGTTGATGATATATATTCAAATAAATATTAAATACATAAAAACCACGAAACGTTTCGTCTCTGACTTGAGACCTCTTCAGTCGCGAACAAATAATTAATACATATAAACA